TCATAGCGACTTCGACCTAGAGGAGTTAGTTAAAATAGTATTGGATCACAGAGAGCAGTAAAACAGGCGACATCTCCTCAAACTACGAATGAATGAACTATATGATGAATAGAGGTTATTACCATGGAAAAAGATTTAAATATGAGAATAGTCAGTCAAAATAGTGGATAAGAAGTATGAGAAAAGGCTAAGAAGACATGAGTTCTATCTGGAGAATTTTGATCATGATACTAAATCAGGACACGAAAATGAGGTATATTGAATCAAACTAATATTGTTGGATTTCATAGTTTTAGAAAAAGCAGTATGCCGTCAACATTTCTTGATGATGTCTTTTAAAACATTCCCTCTCTTTAATTCGTAAGAATAGAGATATCAACAGAATTAGCTTGCCGAACCCTTTCTGTGCCGGGACGTCTTAAAAGTTCGTAACTCCCATTTTTAATTCATTTTTTAGGTTAAAATACAAAATGAATTAATAGACTAGTGATCAGCTGCTTGTGATTGTTTTCTTCATTTGTCCTTTTCACATATGTGACAATTTAGGGAAAGAAAAACTTGTTGTTTATTTTTTTTGAAGATGTGATATTTTTTGTTGACACTGCACTGAAAAAACAAGAAGGTATGGCTGTATCAACAGAACACATATTGAACCCAGCATTTCTTGTTCAAAGTCCCAGGTAGTATTTATTCTAGTTAACAGAATCTGTATTGATTAATCATAGCCTAAATTGTTTAGATTTAAGCCCATTGGTATTCATCCGGAGTTGTTTACACGTACACAAATACATAGCGTATGGTATAAAAGCTTTATTTAGTTTTTGTACACTTTCGTTTTTTTCTTTTAGAATCCATCCGTCGGCCCTGGAACATATGATCTGGTGCAATATGGTGATTTTAGTGACAAAAATGTTCAAAAAAATGCTGAAGGACCAAACTGGGAGCAAGCTTTTTATACCGAGAAGATGGCAAAAATACCCCATTCAAATTTTAAAGCGACATATGAGTCTCGAAAAGAAGAAGAACGTCGTATCGGTCCAGGTGCATATGAAATCAAAGATTTTTTAATTGAAGCAGATGAAAGACCACAATGCTCACGTGGATTGTTGGATCAACTGACTGAAAGATTTCCCAAAGATTCGTCAGACAGGGCGCCTCCTCCGGGAGCATACGGTATTCCCGACCAGAAAATCGTTGAAAAAAAATGGCAACAAGGAAGTAAAATTCCTTCATTTCAATGGCGTCAAGGTGATCGAACGTTACCATTAGAGGTTAGGCTGAAAATATTCATTTCTCAATCTGAAGATGATCTTATTCTATTGTTGCTCTTAGGGTTCTGATATGGGACCAGGTACTTACAATATTAAAAGTTCGATCGATGACTTAATCAATAAACGCGTTAGCGAAAAGGGACCATATCAGCTCTTTTCTGTTAGTCGATCAGCTCCAATAAACACGGGACATTATGCTGTTCTTGTAAGTGGTCTTCTTCTTTTTATTTTAGAATTCATTAGAATTTTAAGTTTTGTCGTGAATAGGATAGATGGGATTTACGTGCAGATTTTCCGTCACTAGATTATCCAGAATCAATCTCTTCTTTAGAACAACTTAAACATTACAGTCAAGCTAAACATGGTTTATTCAGTAAATTATCACGGTTTCAGAAAAAGCCCACCAATCGTCTGGCTATTGAACATCCGGGACTTGAGCCAAAAAACGTTGATTTTCCCGGTCCAGGGCAATGTAAGTTAGCTGAAGGATTAAAAATTTGATTATGGCAGCACAGAACTACTAGTGATGTTTGCCACTACCTAAGTTGTGTGTATTGTTATTAGCCTGTGAACGTTTTAGACAACATACCATGGTAATAACCTCTATTCATCATATAGTTCATTCATTCGTAGTTTGAGGAGATGTCGCCTGTTTTACTGCTCTCTGTGATCCAATACTATTTTAACTAACTCCTCTAGGTCGAAGTCGCTATGA